GTAAACATATCACCAGAATGATTGACAGTTAGGAGGACCACTGATTTTGATGATCCACCAGGAAAAAGAAAATCCTCCACTATACCTACAGTATGGACCACAGGACTGAGGAGCCACCTTCTCCTCCAGTTCTAAAAGAAAAGTAAACTGTGATCCTATCTCAGTATGGCTGAAGCTAAACGTCCAACTGCTTAATTTAAAAAAAAAAATCACCATTAAAATAAAACTGTTAATTTTAAAATAAAATTGGTCCCAGTCACTATGAGTTACAATTTTGTAATCGATGGTCATACATAACTATAAAAAGTTGCTTTAGTATTATGTGTTCAGTACAGGAGCCACAACAGAGGCCAGGACAAGTTCTGCAAGGGCAATGGCCCCTGTTGGCCCCCATCTAGAACCACCCATGATGCTCTCTTATTCTCATATATAGTTGTGATTTGATACAGTAAAATGACCAGCATGGAGCAAAAAGAAGCACTTCTAAAAACCAGTTGACATAAATGCACTGATAATAAAATGAAAACTTAAGGTTTTATGATGATGAATTTATTAGGACCAACATCGACATGTTTGAATGCATCTTATTTACATACTTATTTGATTTGATTACTGTTAAGCTTGTAAAAAAAAACTTCAGATAAACTTAATCCTGAATTAGATACAGAATCATTTTCAAAAAGTGCCATAACCTAAATTAACATGTATTTACTTTACACAGTTAAATGGCAAGATATTGAGATAAAAAGTACTTAAAATGATTACGTAAAAATTCAAAAAATATCCACTGGACTTGGTTTTCAAGATTTGAAGACGTTTCTCCACCTCTCAAGGAAGCTTTCTCAATTCAAATGTCTGGATCCGCAGTGAGTTTGAGTCTATATGGAGAAGGCCTTATATTGCTTGGAAACATTCAAATGGTAACCGACGAATGGGTCGTTAGTTCCATCGTTAGCCTGTAATATCTGAACCTGACTATGATTCTAAGGGTCGGTCGTTAAAGGGGGGATTGCCTCCTGTAATACCTGAAACCTGTCTATGATTGGATTAGATGACTGAGAACCTTCATCTGCATACTTAAAATGATTCAAACTCCTTCATTTTTTTATTATTTAGTGCCATAACAACCACAGATCTCAGTGATTGGTTTAGTAAAATCTAGACCAGCACAAAGTTGCACATATAGCTGAAGTAGAAGGACATGCTAAATGATTTTCTGAAAAGTTCTGTGTGTTTTATATTATATTTGATGTAATCTTTGTAGAACATTTCAGAATTGGACTTCGTCTGAGCTATGGCTCCCAACGGCTTTAGAAATGTAAAGACAGACATTTTAATCAATTACCAGCATTTGGCAAGAGGAAGATTTAATTTCATAACCAAAACACTGCTTTACTAAAGCTTTATCCCAGATATATCTACTATGTTCCTTTGTCTTCATTTCTGAAACACAAAACAAAACACTGAGGTCTTCAGAAAGTAGCTTTGATTATAATAATGTTAAATTACACAGAGGTAAACGGTACAATGAATGTTCAGGACAATCTTCTGCATTGGATTTTGATTTGGGATTTCAGGTGGGATAGAAATGAAAGGGACAGTGTTCATATTTTAAATTAGAAAATTAGAACACACATCATTTTCTTTTAACTTCACAATTATGCATTACTTTGCGTTGGTAAGAACAATTATTTAGTACATGTATTTTTGACTCAGTGTTAAAAAGTTTCTTAGGCATCAAGATAGAAATAGACTTTGATTTAAAATGTCCTATTAATATGTTATATGGTAATCTATCTATGATCAAACTATTAACATTTTCTACCAAACCGGTTCAGAATGAATCAGAAGAAATATATTTTAAAAAGCAGAGCAGAGATTACAATCTCTCAAACCCTTTTAATCTCAAATATTTAAATAGATTAATTCATTTGTCATTTTAAGAATAAATGAAGTGAAAGAAATAAAAAGGTCTAAAATAAGGTGATAGATAAAATTTGTGTGATACTTAAACCTCCATGTTATTGTGATTTAATTATTACTTTACAAGATCAAGTGTTTTAAAGGAATTTAAGGCACTGCAATGTTTCATAATATCATTGAAACAACATCTTGGAAAAGTCTTATTGGCAGTAGAAAGTGAGAACGCTCTCCTGGTTTCCTCTGACCATCAGAACCGGAGGTCTTAGATCCCGGGACAGGATGTCAAGCCATGCCAGGTACAGAGAATTAGGACACACTCCTCTCCTACCCACCGGCATCGTTCTGTAAGGAGAGACAGCGAAGGACACATATTGGGATTTTCCTCAGGTTTGAACAGTTCTATCTTCTGCACTGGAAAAAAAATCAAAATCTAGACAAGTCATTTTTCCTAAAATATGTGCATTTGTTCTTGGATTAAGGAGGTAAAAGAGACATTTAGCCAATGGAACAAGACAATTTACCCTTAAAATAAGAAAACACGATTGCGTTGCCTTATTTCAAGTGCATATTATCTAATTATCTTATCTGAAGAGGAAAAATAGTCATTCCATTGGCAAACTATCTCATTTAACTCCTCAAATTAAGGTTAAATACACTTTAAGAATTTAAGTAATTTTTTTTACTCATTTCTAGATTGTTTTTCCAGTGTGCTTTGCCAGAAAGAGCACTAAAAAGAGGAAGTATTGCACTCACATCACAATCAGAGCTGCATCTCTGGAGTAATCCTGCAGCACCTCATTCAGACGGATCTGACGGAGGGACTGAAGTTTACACAAAGTGTTAGTAAAATACAGAACAGCTTTAATGGAGAAAAATGAAATGTTAGCGGTAAGAATTTCGGACCTTCGCCATGTTCCTCTCCAAGTCTTGGGGAGTGATCATCCAAGGTGCTTCCTGCTGTCTGGGAGGGTCAGAGTCCGAGTCCGAGTCCTGTTTTGGGTTCGGGTCAAGCCTAAAACGACCGATCATGCTCTCGAAATGCTGGACACTGGAAAAAGGCAAGAGTCACAGATTAGATCTGTCTTAATCAGGCTTTTTTTCTTTTGTTTTGTCTTTTTTTAACTCCTGGTGGATGTAAAAAAAAAAAAAAAAAAAGAAAGAAAAGATAAATACTTCCTATAATGTTTGCTTATACAGTAGTAAGACCTTGATTGTTGATTCCTGGATGACTTAATCTTTCTTTCACATATGTTTTGTTGTTGTTGTTTGTTTTAAAATGTCGTTTCAGTTCTTTAGGATTTACAGACATACAGTATTTCTTCACAGATCCAATCATAGAGTCAGGTTAAGATCAGGATTTTGACTGAACTCTGCTTGTTTTCTTCCTCAGCCATTCTGTGCAAGATCTGTTGCTGATTTTAAAATCCTTCACCTGTTGCTTAGCGCCATGCTAATGATGTCAGAGAAATATTCCCACATTTGACTGTAAAATATAGTTTACATAGGAGTTCATCCGGGACTAGTTACTGCAAGGTATCCAGGTCCCGCCGCTGCAAATCAAGTCCCATTCTTAACAGCTGGTATAAAGTCTATAATATGTTCATTTAACTTTTTAAAAATTTGTCTTGCATGAATCCTATCCCGGGAAAATTTACTTGAAGACCTCATCCTGGTAAGATTAATCCTCTGCTTGTGAATAACCACTGCTGTTTGATGAACTTTAATATATTTAGTAAGGATCCAAAGACCCATCCAAGACTGACAGAGAGCGCCAATTGCTTACCTAAGGTTATCACTGATGAATTCTTACACAGTTACCAGGATTGCTATATCACTTGTGGAGTACTGCAAGTTGTACAGCTTCATAGAATACATATTTAATGTATATTTTATACCGTTACAACAAGCAAGCAGTCTTACTTCACTGGTTGTGGATTTTCGTAGATGTCAGGAAGAACTTCAACATCCTGGAAACCAAGACGAAACTTCTTGATGAGAGATAAAACCCTAGAAAAACACAAAACATTTTAGATGTTTTACTAATATATTAATTATGAAAAACTATATAAACAAGATTAATCAAATCAAATAATGAAAACAAACATGTTGATAGTAATAATATGTCATATTATAAATATACAAAGTAACTTTTTCAGTAATTTAGTGAATCCAAATGAGCTAAAAAAAAAAAAAAAAAAAAAAAAAAGCTGCCCATGGTGTGTTTGATAAAGACGTTGCTTTATCAAACACACAGATAGTTTACATTTAAAATAAGAAAATGCAATTGCCTTGTCTTATTTCAAGTGAATTTTATCTAAATATCTTATTTTAAGAGTAAAAAAATCCTCATTCCATTGGCAAATCATCTCATTTACCTACCCAAAATAAGGGTAAATACACTTACCGTACATAAGAAATTTCTACTTATTTCTAGATCGTTTTTTTCCAGTGCAGTAACTGATTTGAAGACTTGCAAATGAATTAAGGTTATAAACATCTAGTGAACACATTTGTAAAAAACAAAAACAAAACCCCCAACATTTGCCAAAATTCATACAAAGCATTATTATGTTGATGTTTTAAATTGCTGAATGTATGCAAATCTAAATTGTGGCAAGAGGGACTTTTCTTCTCCCTCAATGTTCTTGAACAGCATACTTATCTTTATATTTTATCAGACTATTATGGGCCTACCTTGGTTTGCTCTACATCGGCTCAAGCAGCTGTTAAGAGGAGCTGGTGGAGATAAATCCAGCTGTTTAGAATGTGATCTGGCTAAAAATCTGACCCCTCCAAATAGGGGTAGTGGGAAGGAAGCATCGAAGACAACTTTTCCATTTATAATGATATTTTAGCTCTAACTTGTTCTTTTTTTCCCCATGTTTTTTTTTTTTTTTTTTTGCACTTTGAGAAGCTTATGTAAAGTTTGCTTTAAATATTTAGTACTACTGCTGTTACTTTTTTTTGGATGAATATTATTACCTCCAACTACATGACTTAGAACCCAACCTTTGTTTTATGGCCACTCTCAAACTGCCAGTAGAACACCTAATCAACTAATTTTTAATAGTGCAGAGCCAATCTCATCATTTGCACTAACAGTCTTTGTAGATCATTGCTAATACACCCGCTTATTGCACATGCAAACAATTCTTTGCCAAAACAATTGAGGTCTTCTTATGTCAGACAAAAAAATGTCAATGCTGTGCCAAAGCATCTTTAGGGCGCCACACTTGTAAAACCAGCTGTTTACATCTGATTTGAAAATATAAAATGTAAAAAAACAAACAAAAAAAACATACATTTTGAGTGTTTCAAATTAAGTTAGGAAAAAAAAAAGTTAGGAAGCCATGCAGATGCATTAAAATAGAAAGAAATGCAAATTTGCTGCAATGAAATAACATAATTTCTACCTGTTTTTCTCCATAGAAAAGAACACAAAGCTCTATTATGTAAAATAACATTTAGATTCCTTGGTCTTACTCTTCCTTCTGCTCGTCCTTTTTGTCTATTTCTCCCCCGACAAAAACTCGGACCTTACACCTGGCCCAGCGCTTCCTGCGAGTCAGCAGGTATGGCAGCAACAGAGTCAGACCTAAGGATAGACAGATGACCAGGAGGAAATGTGTTGGAAAATCAGGAGACATGAAAGGTTGTGACTGCAGACATGATAATCCCACCTCCATCATCAGACAGCCAGTAAACATCAATGGTCCTCTTCCCTTGTTTTTTCTGGAACACGGTGGTGGGTTGTGGCTCCAGTTCAACCGTGATTGAAGCTGCAAACAATTATAGAGGCAAATTCAGAATAAATATAGAGATTGATGAAAGAGATGCAGCATTCTGTTTGTGAAGTGATTATGGATGCTGCACATACAAGTTGTGCTTGTTCGAACCAGGGAAGCAGGAGAGGTGATGTCACTATTTTCTGGTCCCCCATCAAAACCTTGGTTAACTGTGACAAGAACACGTGTGAGATCTGTTTCAGCAGCCGGAGCAATGAAGAGTTTATTCATAAAATATCTAAAATGTGTAATTTATGTCAGCAATGGCCTCACCGTGGGACTGAGGTGGATTGGAGACATCTAACCCCTCTTTCATCCTCAGCACACACACTCCATATTGCAGGTCAAACGCATCACTAAAGAGCAAAAAAATAAAAGGAATAGAGGAAGCACCATTTGTCTTTTGAAATAAAATGTGAAAATTTAGATATTTAACTTATTATTTTCTCTGCACTTACTGCAGGATTTCTATGTAGTTGTTTGCAGCCAGAGTTGAGTCACTGCGCCAGTCTTTCTTGAATCCCATCAGCAAAACGTTTGGCTTGATTCGACCCAATCCTGCCCCCTGGTGGGCAGTTAGCGACATAGCAAAAAGTAGGTTTCCATGTTATTAAACACTACCAAGCTATACTGACTCAAAACATTTCAGGTGGATTATAGTGCACACTTATGATCATTTAAAAACATAACTATTTAAAGGTAATGCACACATCCTTCAGATTACAGACAGTATAAAAAAAGTTGCAGAAAATTGAATAGTGAGGACAAAAATGTGTCAAAAGCATCATTTTTTTAAATGGGGGATACTACATTTTCCTTTGTTAAAACAAGTTTTGGATCTTAGGGAGCTCTCTCTCACCTGAAGCAGCATGTTAACTCCACAGCGAAAGTCAGAAGCCACCACTCCTCTATAAAATGACCTAATCTTCCTTTGGTTCAACCAGGAGACGTGTCTGTTGCTGCTTGCCTTCTCTAAAACAGATGGGGACGAGCCCGTCTAAAAAATAAGGAAAGACATGTCGTAAGATGTTAAATTCCACAGCTAAACACTAAGGACATTTTTATGTACTGTGCTTTTACTGCATGAACTAGAAGTTTTATGAGTGTATTTTAATCTGTACTCACAGTGACCACATTTCCACACATCATTAAACTGAGGTTCTTTGTGAAACAGTTGACGAGATCCAAGAGAGCCGGTCGACTGCTGGGAGGACCCGTCAGCACCAAACACTGGGGTCTGAAAGTAGAAAAGAAAAGCAAACGTTTAGTTCAGATTCAGAACAGGGAACAGATACTCTAAAGGTAAATGCTAATGTGAAATAATATAAATACAATTCAAAGTGAATGGAACATAAGAAAACGAAGCACACAGAAAAGTCAGATAAACAACCATAAAGTAGATACTTTTAGTCCATAAAAGTACATTATGAACTCTTGCCAAGTTCATGTTATCTGAATTTAGTAAAATATCAAGAAAACTTCCTCCTTCTCCATAGCAACTGGCTATTTCACTGCAGCCTCCAATTTAAATAACCCTGAACAGCTTTAGGGACTCATTCCTCCGAGCATTTTCCTTGTGTCTGCATCTGTTTTATCACATCATTCAAACCAAAACTCATAACCAGAGTTAATGTTAAGATATTTTTTAAACTCACAGTTTATTCCTAAATACGGATTCTACAAAACATTTCACTTAGTACTGACTTGCATCTAGATTTTCAATAGATATTTTAAGGCAGTGCGTTGTAGACTTTTGAATGCACAGTAAAAGAGCATTAAAGGAGGTTTGCATGTGTGCTTGGCTGCATTGGATCTACAGAAGTGGACAAACTTTTGCCACATTTTGTAAAAAGTCTTAAATTATTTTTTTTTTTTTTGACAGAAGCAAAAATCTCAGTGGAATATTTTAAAAAGTCTAACCTTTATAGATCTCACTTTTGCATAATTGTATTGCAAATTAATCAGAAAAATCACTGCCAAGTTGCTGTTAAGATCCGCTTTAAAAAACTGCAGGTAGTCTTCCTTCGCAATTATCACAAGGCTGGAGAATAGAGCGAGAGATCTTTGACCAGAATAAAAAAATCTTTGCAGATCATCCAGACTATTGGGTGTTTTTGTATCCTTTCCTCTCTTTATCCCGCCCCTCAGGTTTAATGCAAATGTAGGTTTTGGGGCTGATACCATTGCTTTGGCAATCAGCAATATGTTTAAAATCGCCTCCTTCTGAATGACCCTTTTACAAAACATTTTCTGCTTCCTGACACGTTGTATTTATTTAATAAACTTTATTGAGAATATGAAGCAAATAACATTTATTCCACAGGTTCTTTCACTCAGAGGTTCCTCCAGATAGTTGCTTTTGCCCCTCAGCCTTCTGCATCTAAAACTACTCTTCAAAGGTACATATAAGTGCCTAATTTCCCTCGTATATAGTGTAGAAGGCTTAAAGCCGTACATGTTTGAGCCCTTGCCTCACAACGCTGCCAGTTCTGTTAGCTCTACGCCTGCCGAAGACACAGACGTCCATCCCCGTGAACACTGGGACGCAACTCAATGGTAAAGTCAATTATTCTTATTCTTATTTCAACCGTTGCGTATATTAGCTGCAACATATGAATCAAGATGCTATGACCGAAAAAATGTGATTGAAAAATGAGCGTTGATATATGATTTGCTGAATTTAGGTGTTCAGGCTGACGTAGAACTAACTGGCCTGCAGAAGATAACGAGAAAAACCCATAGAATTTTAAGACAGGATTTTTTTTTTAACTAGAATTTTTTCTACATTTTGGGACAATATCGTCTGATCAACAGTACATTTATATACATGTTTAACCCAGAATGATTTGACATTTAAATATGACTTCCCTATGACTTTAAGTCCTTTTTACTCATGTTTACCAGGAGTTCCTCAAATGTATCTTTAGTCCTAGTGTAGATGTTATTTAGCAAATACATTTTTTGATCAGAATTTTACAAAACTGCCTCACCTGGCAAATAAACTCGTGTTACGTTGTACTTAAAATTTTTAATACAAGGTTCTAACTATATGCAACATATAGACAGATCTGCTTGACAAGTTAATGAAAATGAAATAACTAAGATTAACTAAAGTATTATAAAGCAACAGCTTTACTATATTAAAAAGGTAGAGAGAGGCGAAGCTAAGGGTTTTACTAACCTGTAGTTCTTGACATGATCTTCCACAAGGTTCAGGCCCACACATTGATTCAGTGCCAGGTTATAGGAGCTTGCTTGCACCGAGGAGCCCCAGTTCACATCTAAACCCAGCAAAGGATATGAATGAAGCCCCTAAGGTGGCACTATGTTACACCTCTCAACTGTTTGTGTGTTTACCTGGCTTTTTGTACAGCGTATATCCCAAGAAAAATATGACAACACCGATTGCAATAAGAGCCGCCCACCAGGTCAGCAGGAACATGATCACGACACAGATCACAGCACACAGCAGCGACAGCCACTTATTGTAGAACCTGAAGGACGGACGCCAACCTGCAAACGCACATGGATGTTAAAATACAATGCAACATTTAATAGTGAAGATCGTACATTTGCTTGGCCACAATATTAAGGAACAGCATAGTATGTATATCGTTTAATGTTTGCATGTCCAATGGATTGCAATGCATTAAAAAAATTATTTCCAACTAAATGTAATTTTTTTTTATTAGCTGCGCTGAAATATTTCAGACTGTCAAGAAAATGTTTTCATTAGAGAGAAACTAGCTAAAAAAAGGTGGTTTCCTGATTATCAGTAAACAAATTTTAAAGGAAAAAATGTAAAACTGCCACCATGAATTTGCAACAACTATAAATATCCCATTTGTATCACTGGATGAGTTTTAGCAGTCCTTTGCATGATTAGTAAGTCAGTAAAGTGTATTTATTAATTGTCTTTTAAAAACAGAACATTGCACAGTGCTGCACAGAAAACCAATATAGCAAGAATTTAAACCAAATACTTAAAAGAATTAAACATATTAGAAAAAATAAAAAACAAGATAAAGAAGTATAATAGTAAACACTCAACAAAAGATCTGTTTAAACAATATTTTTGAATGCATTTCAGAGGGTCCACAGAGTCAACTAAATGTAGCTGTAGAGGTAGACTGTTTCACATCCTTGTTGCTGTGGATTGAAAGGCTGAGCCCCTCTTTGTCTTTATTCTCATGCATTGAACAACAGTGATAAAAAACAAAGAGATTTCAATTGCTGGAATGTGTCCAAAGTTGGGCTGCAGCATTTTATTAAGGATTGGAAAGCAAAAATGTATCCAAACTAGGCCTGAAACTATTATTTTGCAAATCAATTAATCTGCCAATTTATTTTTTTTTTGATTAATTGATTTATAATCGGATAGCCAAAGATTCTTGAAAGAAGACTTTTTACAAAATTAAACAAAGGTAAACAAGTGAAACTCAAACTTTTTCACTTGAAGAGTTCTGGACAGAGCATACAGTATTGACATTTTTATTTATTTATTTTATATCTTAAATGCATAATATTGATACATTTTTTACAATCGTGGTATGATTACTGCTATAAGTGGGTCGCTCTGTCAGCTAAAGGCATGTTTTACAGTCTCTACACTTCATTGATGGTTAATTGATTACTAATTTAGTTGACGATTATTTCAATAATTGATTAATCATGATTAATCTGATTAATTGTTTCAGCCCTAATTCAAACCAGTAAATTGAGCAATACAATAATGTAAGCACAATTAATCTGATTTCCTGAATTATTTTCTCCTTTTTAATCTACTGTTTTTTGCTGGAAAGTCAGACAGCAGAACAGCATCAACAGCCTGTCAAGCTAATGTGCGACAATAGACTTACAATTGAATATCATCTTAATAAAAGTGATAAAAAATAACATTAAAAGATTGAATGATGCCGGCAAAAGAAAGTATATAAAAAGCTAATATTTTTGGACCCCAACCCTTGTAAAAGTCCCACAGGTTGGAGAGGCATTCATGGGAGTGAAAAAGTCCTCCCAGAAAAGAGAAGATCAGTCAAGTGCAGAACCACAGATACCATTTGAAACTCTCAAACTATTCAGTAACATGTTATGGTCAGTGGTATCAAAGGCTGTGGAGGGAGAAAGCAAGACAGTTATAGGACACTTCCCTGAATCAGAAGCTATTAAAACATCATTATAAACCTTTAAAGGAACCATCTCAATGCAGACAGATCTGTATCATTTAGGTGAATCCTCTGGATATGGTTCAATGAAGACAGAAAAACCAAGAAATGGCTTTGCATTTTTTCCCAGACCTTTTAAAATACAGAATATTGTTTAGCATTGTTCTTGGATTTTGTACTGCTTATCAGATATTTGAACCGATTTCACATAGCCAGGAAGGTTCTGTTTCAATGACTTCTTCTTATCTAGTTAACGCCTGAGTAAGGCTGGCATTTTATGTTTTCTCAGGTTTTCTTTGCCTAAAAGAAAAAATTGCTTTATATGGAAAAAATAGGTGTTTCAGAAAAGACTCAACAAATAAAAGCTGTGTAAGTGCAAATAGTCTTTGACCTACCTGGTGAATTGGTGATGGAAGCATGGAAGCAGCTAAAATTGATCAGAGAGTAGGAGCAGAGGTAGAAGTTTGAGATGATTGGAGCGATGGCGTTCAACTCGGCTGGTAAAAGATAAGAGGAAAAAAAAAATCTCTGTGTCACAGGTATCTCTTTATTGTAACACTTTATGAGCTTCTGTTTTCTTTCAGACAATAAAATGGTACAACAGGAATAAATCAATTCAGACATAATTTAGGATAATAACTTCCGTCAAAATTATTATGAAAGATTTATCACGAATAGTGATAAACACACCGAATATTTTAATGGTACAGAGTCGTTTTATATGGCTAAAATTAAAAGCCCCAAATCCAGCTGATTATGATAGAGAAAGGTTGTCTGCCCTGATAGTGTTTTGATTGTCCTTTTCTAGCCTAAATAGAACCCCAGCAGTGAGCTGACATGACCAGATATGGTGCCATCTACTGGCTGTACTGCTGAACTACCAGAAAGACAGCTGGCCTCTGACACAACCACTAAATAAGTCCCCTTTGTGCTGACTGGGTTTTAATGCCTCACATAAATGCAACAGCTCAGAGGATAGGGCTTAAAAGCATTTCTAACAACAGTAGCACTATTAGCAAGGACATTTACTCACGTGTCTATCAATTTCACAGCAGATCAGAATACTTCCGTTTTAGTGAACTCCAAACATCAGACTGTTTTCTAGTGTTGCTCTGATGCCAATTTTTTGGCCCCGATACTGATACTTGGTTGTGCATTATCAACCGATACCATCTGTTTGAAATTGATGTGTGTGTGTATATGAAGAACTGCATCCTACTTGGATGTAAAATAATTGCCATCATGGCTTCATGTCAAGCTGCTGCCTTCCTTTGTGAAGCACGAAAAAGACTAATATAAAGAGAATCCAGTAGAACGTTTTATTGCCTACCTGGAATGGGTGACAATAGTTGAATAAACTCTTTTGACTCTCAAAATGGTATCTGTGCTCTATTTGTTGGTACTCGCCGATACCGATACCACGATTTTAGTGCTGGATCGGGGCCCCGTCCGATACTGGTATCAGTATCGGTGCAACACTACTGTTTTCTCAGCATAACTTGAGTTTTATCAGTCTTGGAATAAAAGATCTTCTTGCACCATTTTACACTCGATCTTGGACTTTTCTTTTCGCTCCCCTCCATTACTTTAGCTTGTTAACCAATTGTACGCATGGCCAGGATGTTTTTAGGATAAAAAGAAAGAGAAAGGCTATATCTCCCAATAAACTGAGAAAAAAGAGGCTTAGATAGAAAATAAACACTTTGCCAGCATAACGCTGTTCTTTATCAAAGACGCATTGTATGCAAACTGAGAGAGTGACTGTTGCAAATATAAAATTAGGTTATTCCAAATGGGCATTCCTTTCAAGCAGACAAGGAACAGGACCCAAGCAAACCATCATGTGAGAAGGGAGAACACAAATGCAGACCCATATGGGTAGTTATGATGTGGGAGTTTGAGAGAGCTATAACTTTTCTACACATAACGTCCAAGCAGCTTCAAACCCCAAAACACATAATCGGTCTCCGCCAGTCACGTGACATTTGTTGCTAAGACGCCCTTTTTGGTGGAAAAGGCGTAGTGTAAACAACCGCAGCATAGCTAAACGAAGGACTAAAGGATTGAGTTTGTTTCTCTGACTATATGGAAAAAAGTAAGCAGAATGCGAAATTACCGTACCGGCAAAAACTTAATAACGAGGCCAGGGACCGTTACTTGTCGAAACTGTCAGATATTAACGGCATGGATCCTTATGATCTCCGCAGCAAAGACTGGAGCTCTGACGTCACGTCACTGCCTCCAACCTCATCAGTGGACATAACAAACTACCTAGTGTTTGGCGTCAGTGCCTATACTTGCGAGGAATTCAAAGCATATAAGTCACTGGAAGCACACGGACAGTTCACAAATGGCTCCTTTTTTGTCTGATTTAGACAGGGGGAACAGATTATAGCAGGTGGCCTGCTATAATTTGTAACTTTAAGAAATAAAGGTCAATCAACTCCAAAGTTTCAGGGGTTAGTTGTCATCATAAAAGATGTTTATAAGCCAAA